TCGTGACGCTTCGAATGCTAATTTTCACTCACCTCTCGCACCTAGTTAACCGCGAGTGAAAAGCCAAACACGATCGCGGATTCGTTTTCTCGGCTGCAAACTTCTCGTTTGACAAACGAGCCGAGTTCGAAAACAAAAGGAAGAGAAAGAGAAAACACGTAAGTCACGAGGCAACGATTTCCCTTCTTAAGTCTACGCGTGTACCAGAGAGAGACAGGGAGAGAAAGAAAGGGAAAGAGAAAGAGAGAGGGTTACAGATTCGATTTACGAGCTGAATTCCTCGGGACTCGGTTCTTCCTGTCTCGAAACGAGCGCGGCAACAAACGTTGCGCTGCGTTTGACATTTCCATTCCGCGCGAGGATTTGTTTGAAATATCGTTTATGCCGTCCTGGTATCCGGCATCGCGGCCGGATTAACGGCTGCAACAGGTCGTTAAGTCGGCCGTTGCGATATTAGATGAAAATCGAGAGACAGAGAGAGAGAGGCCGATCGTACGCGACCCGGTACATCGTTCGATCGAACGATCGACTTGTGTTCGACGCTTGTCCTCGATTTATGCGATAGATCCCCCCCTCCTCCACGATCCCTCTTTCGCAGCCGTGATTCTTTGTTTCCCTCCGTGTTTTCAGACTGTTCTGGTTCGTGCGCTCGCCGCATAAATGTCACGGGTGCAATGATAAATTTTAAGCGCGCCGCTTGACGCGTTACGCCGACGTTCTTCGCCTCTCGTTCCACGCTGCTCGTTCCGTCTATCGAACAATGGTATTGTTTGCGTGTTGCCTTTGGGAAAAAAATCACGTCGAGTAGTATTCTTTTTGATGAAAGAAATTGGAAGTGCGAGCAATTAAAAAGTCGAACGGAGGCTGTATACGAGGGTATACAGTATGTCTCCGTTTATAGGTTTCGCTATCGACAGTGTTTCGTATTTATTCAGGTGTCGTGTAATTTAGAAAGGAAAATGTACAATTGTACGATTGATACGATGGAAACGAAACAACTCGTTATTTAATTAAGTTTAAATATACTTTGAGTTTTGTCGAACGTGACTGCTTGGAATAATCGAACGAATGTTATGAATGCTTCGAATTCTATGATGTATCCGATTTATCTCGATAACCATTTGTACAATTTATCAATTAATAACGATGAATCGATACACAGCTACGATATTATATCATTACAAACCTTTTTTTTTTTTATTATTATTAATTTCAAAACCTCGTATGAAATAGATACTATAATGACTTGTAATTACAATTTCCTTGTAAAACTTGTTACGTGTCGTGCAACGGAATTTATTAGTGCCAAGTAACACTTGTAACGTTCCGCTAATATCTAATATTAGTTAGATCGTGCAACAAGTGTCTCGATTAATCACAGTGGAAAATATTAATTTTCAAATCAACAGTATCCGACTTGCCACACCGCACTTATTATATTATCTTTTTCTTTTTTTTTTTTTTTTTTCAGTCATAGAAGGTTTGGAAGGCTAACGTTCTACGCGACCATGTTGCAAGAAGAAATTAATTGAATTAAACGTGTCACGCGTTCTCGTTTCTTCCAACGATCGTTACGTTCGTTCGATCGATACGAAACGAAATATCATATGGCGCGGATAGGGTGGCAAAGTGGATAGCATTGTGCGCACGATTCCACCCCGGGGCCCGACATCTCCTTACGCCTCGTTAGACGCCTTGTTTCGCGCCTCGAAAATGCACGTACGAGTGTACACGATGTAATACCGCGGATTGTGACTGGTAAGCTCGTCGCCTTTCATAATACTGGTTTTAATGGCCCATTCCAGGCCCCGCCCAGAGGCTGCGGAGCAAAAAGGAATTGATTTTCACGCCGGCTACTCGACGAGGAAGCGAGAATCTCAACGATGCCCACGAATGGCTCGCATTCGCCGGCAAATTCGCTCGTTAATGCGTCGCGTTAAGGAAAGAATCGGTTGCGCGGTGATCGAGTTAATAAACCGTGTAAAATATTTTACACGGATAATCTCTCGAAAAGGAACGCTCAAGATCCTCGTTAATTAAAGAGAAAACGGGGAGGGAAATTATCTCGACCGGGAGGGATCGTACGCGCTCCGGTGATCATAGTGTCCCGCCCATTAGAACGATATTTTATGCCTAATTGATGCAAAGTAAGTCGTCGTAAGAACGTCTGCTCGATTTGAATTGTTAATCTTGCCAAGAACGCAACCCCATTGATGTCTAATTATCATGTACACGAGCGATTCAATGGCATCATAGAGCAACCTATGAATCATATTTAAAGACAAATGAATTTCTCGGCATTATATGCAAAACATTGTGCGCTGGAAGGGTTGAGGAGAGGGGCCGTTATCAGCGCGGGATTTTGCCGCGGTAAAAGTACGCGCGGTAAAAGCGCGCCAGTAAGCTAGTCAATAATTATCCAGGCGGCCACGGCGGCAATAAATCAATGCTTAGAAACAAAATGACAGGGACGATGGCCGTTGATAATACACGTGTATGTACGAATGTACGCTAATTGCACGAGCCGGCCGAGATATATGTATACATACGACGAGCTACACGGGATTAAACTAGCCCTCCCGCTATATCCTGCTGATTTCAGACGTTGTAGGTATCCGTCTTGCATAACGCGCGCGCGCGCGCGCGCATTCGTGGTGTTGCAATAAACATTGCAAAGTTATAATGCCGCCGCTACAGGCTGCGAGAGAATTTACTCGACGACCGTGCAAACGCTCGTTCGAAGGGGTACCTGGTAAATTTTCGACGTCCTTCGATCATTAGGACGTACGTTTCGCGAGGGAAGATGGATTCTCTCGTTTCTCGCACGATACGAGAGAATTATATACGTAAGATGTAAGCTCAATGAAACGTGATCGTCATATGTGGGAAAATGGTGCCAACGATAAAATGGAATTAATATTACGCGAGAGTTAAAAGACAGACGCTATCGATCAACCGAATCCGGGATAATCTATTAGAGTTTAATATCCAGTAATAATAAAGTCGGATCATTTATTGTTTTCTCCGTTTACGAGCAAATAATTTGTTCCCGGCGTTTCATTACAAATGGACGTGGTAGAGAGATAAATCAAAAGAGTAATAATTATAAGTCAGAAGGAAGGAGAGAGAGAGAGAGAGAGAGAGAGAGAGAGAGAGAGAGAGAGAGAGAGAGAAAGAGAATTTCTTAAGAAACTCGTGACTATGATGTTTGGAGAGTTAACGTACTCCATGCGTCAAAGTCATCGTCGCAAATGAATTTTTTATCGGATGATTATGATCTTTTTTTTTTTTTTTTTTTTATTTTTAACAGCCACGTTTCATTGAAAATACTTTAAATAATACCGTGTGCGCAAAAATGATCGGTGTTATTTTTGTACGGAAGCGAACAATGGCTTCTGTTCTATAGAAGCGACCAGGTATAAATAACGTATCGCCCCTATGTATAGCCCTTTTGTCCTGTATCGTGCCGTGTCACCTAATCATTATTGCAACTATCTGGGAAAGAATACTTATAGCTGCTATAATACAATACGCTTGCATCAATCTGTGTTGAATTTACCTGTGTCAAAAATAGAGAAACGAGAGAGGGAGAAAAAAGTCCGTTTCTATATTTAAATTACAAACTTTACAGTAAAAATAAAACGATCCTCTCTCATTTTTTCGATCCATTCAATCGTACTTTACTTACTTCATTTATTATACCTAACTATTTTCCTGATCTTTATTCAACGATCCACGAGTTTTATTCCACGTACCGCAATGCAAATTTTCCAAAATAACAAAATAAGGTTCCAATCCACGCGACCTGGGACGCATTGTTCGCGCCGCTTGGGAACAGGTTGGGAATCGGCAACGATTTCAGGTTGACGTGCGTGCGTAAGGGCCACGTACGCGCCACCGGCACGCGTGACACGCATCTCATTGCGAATAGGTCACGGAGTTCGTAAGAACTCGACTACCTTGCGTTTATAGTGCGGTCACGGTGGAGCGCAGCGATCGTTTTCTTGCGCCAGTTGTTCATCAGATTCTCCACTGAAGGAACGTCGACGCCGAACGACGCGAAACGCGTCGCTATCCGATGATGCACACCGCCTCTGATGTGTAATGATCGGATCGGAACCGAGTACATCATCCGCGAGCTAACAACAAGAACGATAGCTTTTTCGCGCTCGATGATTTACGAATCGACGCATCGAATGAATGTATAAAATATTAAAAATTGATTATTTTTGTCGAAGATATGCAGCTCAATTGCAGCGATAACTTTCGTTATTGAAGTTTTGGGATGGTTTATCGATCTGATTTTGCAGAGTAATAAATATTAATATATATATATATATATATATATATATATATATGGAAGATGAGTGAAATTCGAAATTTGAATTTACAAAATTGAGTTTACTAAAGAAACGAACTCGCGTGTGGAAATTTCTTAGATTTTTACAAAGATTTAGAATACAATGGAAGAATGCAATATCTCTACGGATGTTTGTATTTTTCATAAGAAATTCGTGCTTTTTTATTAAAATTTACAAACAATTCTGGCCTGGCTGGAAAACAACGAAAGATCCACTTTATATTCTTGAGATAGGTTGTAACCGATGTTACAACGGATAGAACGGAAGATGAAATTGTAGCGGATTTTACCCAGGCCCCTTTGTACGGATTTGTAGCAAAGTGCATGTAAACAGAAATATTCGTAAAACGTTGCAATTTCTCGGTTCCGTTTGCTGGAATATCTGAAAATCTGCAATAATGTTATATTTATTTCGAGCACCTTGTTTTCGTGCATCACGAATAACCGTTATTCGTGTTGTCAATTTGTAAAATCATATTGTTAATCCCACGTTATACGCGTTTATATTTCATTTTATAACTGGAATTTCACGTGTACGAGCTTAACAATACATTTCATATAATTCATAAATCATTAACGAGAAATTCAACGAGATAGAGATTATACGTTGAAATGGACAAAATTATTGCCACTTCGATAGTTGGAGCATTTGCCGGAAGGTGGCAGCACAACCTTAGCCAAGATCACTACGCTATGTCGCAAACATAGATGGTGGGAGAAGCAGTATGGCGCAGAAGCGTGGCCGCAGTCGATTGTGCGACGTTGAGTTGGTTAGTGCCGCCTGTAACTTCGTGTTAGAAAGGCGAGTATTCAACGGTTTTCTTCCACCAATTGACACCACGGATTTTCTTGTGTGAAATGAGGTACGTAACTCGTTTGTATTTTTTTGTAACGATCATCTTCAAGCGTGCTTTTATCGATCCATCAGCCTGGCTGTTTGACCGGTTCCTCTAGCAATTACGCGAAGAAATTAGTTCGTTTTTTGTAAGTTTCTGTCGTTGAGTGATAATTTCATAGCGACATTTATCCAAGCTAATCTTTATTAATAAGCCAATTTGTTATGTATCTAACGTACTATTAGAGTTTCATTGATAAAATAACGACATATGGTTGCCTTGTAGCTCATCGCGTTTTATGTCGAGATTCAACCATAAACGTCGCGAGTTCAAACCTTCTCCCAAAGCGGGAAGTTTTTTTACGTTTCTTTTTCGTCACCATTCATTTAACCTTTTCGGTAGTATATCTCGTATATTACGAAATATCTATATACGTATAGCTTAATATGTAAATAATATAACGCGTAATTTATATTATAACTATATTCATTACTAAACACAAGATAACAACAATTTCACGCATTTTCGTTCACAGATTACCTATCCATAGGCAGAAAATGAAAACATAAATAAAACGTTGCGCGTAACTGTTTTGGATCGAAATAATTGAAAATGCCGTTCACAGCGGACGCTGCGGCCAGCCAGATACAGGAACGATTGAAGAACTTATACCACCTGGTACACGAAATCGAAACGCAACGGGTACGTTCGGAGCACAATCTGAACAACATTATAAAGACTTACGAGAAGGTGACTCCGGAAGACAAAGTGTCTCCCTATTACCAGCAAAAATTGAAGAACCTCTACAACGCGGCAATAGGTGATTCCCAACAGGAGGAAGAAATATTGCGTAAAGCTTTAGGAAAAATCAACGAAATTCGAGCAATTAGGAACGAGCGGCGAATACAGGCACGTAATGCGGGGAACAAAGAAACCATTCGCCGAGGTGCGTTGATGAAGATGCTGCTGAGCACCGCACAGACGCTCCCTCTGTACGTGGGCAAAACACCAGGGGCGAAACCACCCCCTCTTTGCGGAGCGATCCCGGCGGAGCCTACGTATATCGCGAAAATGGGAGACATGGTCGCAGCCCTGGTCAAAGGTTCGGAGGAAGAGGAGAACTGGATCTTGGCAGAGGTGGTGCAGTTCAATCCAACTACGAACAAATACGAAGTGGACGATATCGACGAGGAACAAAAGGACAGGCACACGTTGTCGAGACGAAGAGTGGTGCCTCTTCCATTGATGAGGGCTAATCCAGAAACGGATCCCCACGCTCTCTTCCCCAAAGGTTCTATCGTGATGGCGTTGTATCCTCAAACGACCTGCTTCTACAAAGCGGTGGTGAACCAGCTGCCTACCACGGCCACCGAGGAATACGAAGTCTTGTTCGAGGACGCGACATACGCGGACGGATACTCCCCACCTTTGAATGTCGCGCAACGTTACGTAATCTCTATCAAGGAGAGCAAGAAGAACAAAAGCCAATGTTAACGGACGATCTATTCTCGCGTCAGTATTATATACCCGACGATTGTTTGTACCACTACCAATGAGTACAAATGTTCGTTTTTGTACAAGAGACTGCACTGATTACTTATATAATAAACGTTATAACGATTTTCGATAATAATCGGCCCATCATCGCCAATCGAACAAGCGAACATTCACTCTCGCTATCCTCGTCTTTATTACTCGTCCAACTCCTTAAATAGAAACCGTTGTTCGAACTCGTAACTTTATTTTCGATGTAATTATCCCCTTGTTGCGTGCGTATCGATATTTTTTTATCGAAATCATACGGTTTGTCGTTAAGCCGTGGGGCCGTGATCGAAGGAAATAAGCACGTACTGACAGTTGGGATCACCCGTTTCCGCGATACTCTTGCTACGCCGATGGTAATTGGCGTAGATTATATAACGATAATAGCGGCATTCTTGTACACGAGGGTGGATCTTAACCTGGACTGGTCTGACCTTTCGTGGAATCGATCCTCCGTGACTCCTTTTCGAGCCGAGTAATTTCTTCCTGTACGGAATAAGTCTTCTTTTTCGTACTGACGTGACCAAGACAGAGAGCAGAGAGAGAAAGAGAGAGAGGGAGAGGGAAAGAAAAAGAGATTTTTGGTGGCCCGCAGGATTTTGGAGGAGGGGAAGAGGGGGAATGAATTCGACGCGAGACTGAAAGGCGAGCCGCCTGGTTCGCCATCGAAAAAGGGACGCAGAACGAAAGAGAGTGGCGTGCAATAATTGATTCCATAATCGGTGGCTGCCGCCAGACATCAAAGTGGCTCGATACCCGGTTCCAACCCCTAGCAGACTGACCGGCCCAATCTTCATTCATTATTTAACTTAACTAGTCCTGCTCGAAGTATCATAAAAAAGCGGCTCCGCTTTCGTCGCGTCGACACGTACTTTGCCGGATTTCTTCCTTGAAATTGCTCGAATCGCATCGACGATCCTTTTCAATAAAGCATTCTCGTTAAGGATGAGAGAATGTAAGCGTATATACAGTTATGAAAATTATTACTAATTACTCATTGCATCATTCGTTCTAGGAGCGAATAATGGAAAATAAATGAACAACCACGTACGCAAATTTATTATTATATCGACGAGAAAGATAGCCTCTTTTCGAAGCGCTATACCTAACCTCTTCGAAGTAACGGGCAGCGGCGACGTGTGAAGCCATTTTCAGTCGCGGAATTAATTCAACCATCGCGATTAGCTTTCGCGACGTGGGCGAATTCTGAACGACTTGCGCAACGGTCGGCCACGTGTACGCATATAGACACACGTTCCTGTCCCTATCTCGAAGGAAAGTCGAGCTAATCGAACCTCCACGAGCCACGAGTTCCTGCGGCTGCTAGCTGATACAAGTGGATTCGAAGCATGCAAGCGACCGGAAGCTAAAACGAACTTGCACCAGGGCACGCAAGCCTTCCTTTCCACCCCCGCTTCGAACACACGCTTTCGCTCCTTCCTCCTCGTTCCACCCTTCCTTCCATTCGTTCCACGTTCTCAGTTATCTCGGGCAATTCCTCTTCCAGGCGGTTTTCGCCCTTCTTACTTTTCTTTTCTTTTCCCCCCTCCCACCCTCTCCTCCATTTCACGCCCCAACCCGATGTTCTCGCCGCGCAAACCGATCCCGACCCGGTCCTCCCAACCCTCCAATAATGGCGCGCTGTATTTTTCTTTCGCCACCTCGTAATTACCGGCCGTGCACCGGCGAGAATATTTTATTTCGCTTCGAAACGATCGATCCCACCGAGCCTGGTATCTGTCACTGCGGTTCGCCGCCCGAGCGCTTCCGCCATTCGCTCCCGGCCATCATTAGTCTTCCTTTCGATAAATTGGCGGCCAGATGCGACCCCGTCGAGGTGTCACCTTTGCGGCTTCGCCCGTTTTCCTGAGCCAAGGATGGGGGGATAATGTCCGGGGCTTGATGTTCCGTTGCAATCACTTCCGGTAACGAAGGGAAGGAAAATTATTTTGCGTCGAATGAGACGTTTGCGTTTCTATTCTAGATTCGTTCGTTTCGTGTAGGAAGAAAAAATTACGCGTTACTTTCATCCCATAACTCGGAAAGGGGGGAGTTCATTTTTAAGAACGAAACAGGTATCGATGAGAAGATCGGAAACCGATGAGCCAGGCCGCCGTTAGTTGAGCTTCCTCCCTGGTATTCCAGGAAAGGAGAACGCGGAAAAAGGATTATACGACGTGTCCGTGCGTCGGACAGCCCGTAGATTTTCATTTTTCCCCCCTTTTTTTTTTCTTAATTAATACAATCCCCCGTACAATGGGCACGGCGGAGAAGGTCGATAAGGCTGGGTAACGAGCTGCCAACGTCTAATCCAATCTCGACGTCGAAAACTGTCGGGATTCTTGCAGGACGTGTAATGAGTTCTGGCCAAGAAAAATCTAGATGTTAATAACTTTTGGCCTTTGAACCGCGCGAAACATCATCGGAGAAACGTTGCCTATCGACCGAAAACGAAAAAGAATGAAAAACAATACCCGCTTCTCGAACACCTCGAGTTCGGAATAAACGTGGAATAAATTTCTAAATGGACAGACCACAGATCGGATCGAAAAGTTATCTAAGCCACTATTGCGATTCCCCTTGGAATGCCCGCGATACAGCGCGCCCTTTTTCCTCCTCCTCGGTTAGCCGGCGACACTTTAGACGAAACGATAGGGAGCGGTAGGCGGTTCGAGACGATTTTTAAATTCGTCTCGACGAATCCCATCCCGTTTGCGCGAGGTCGAGCGAGACGGTATCGCGGGGAGGATCAGGTGTTCGACCGGATCCGAGCGAACTTCCTTGAATAAATAAGGGTCACGAGGCACATCTCGAGGCATCGATCTAATTGCTCTCTGCTCGAGCGAGTATCGTACTCACGTATCGTTGGTTCACGTGGGACGGGACAGTTTCCAACTGTGGAAACAGTGTTGCGTGTCGGTACGTAGATTATTAATCCTTACCTCCATCGCAACCAATCGATAACTCGTACGAAATCTTACAGTTAACGAAAGGGACTGGTTTTAGGTTAATAGGTCTCGGTAGAGGCACGAGTTGGTAATTCGATTGCCTTCGCTAATGCAACATCGAACGTTCCACGTTGTGGATATTACACGATAATTGAATGCGAAGTTAATAACGAGTGAGTAATACTTTGAGGTTTACTTTTCTGTAATGAAATTGTTTTCGACATTGGAGAATGAGAACGTTAGAAACGATTTTCCCTTTACGACGTATTTCAACGGGACATTTGTCTTTTCATAGTTATCCATAGTTTCGATTTCAATCTCTCGTTCGTTCGAGATTGGGCGTTTTCCGAACGCGGGAACCAAAGGAAGGAGAGAGAGAGAGAGAGAGTGGGACGAGCCATCGAGAGGGCGAATAATTCACAAGCGGGCGGTTTCTCGTTAATTAATTGCATTTGCCAATGAAGGCGGGGCAGTTTGAAACTTGTTTCATAATTCAGACGTATAATCGGTTATCGCGATCGTTATCTCGCGATCCTACATACACGTCCCCGGAAATTAGCGTACGCTTTTACGACTTTCTCGCCGAAGGAATTTTAATCTCGTGGACAACGTCGCTGCAACGGTTGCTATTTCCGTTGTCGCTGCGACAACGATTCGATGTGGAAATTTGAACCGTTTGGACCGTGTCGCAATGATATATACAAAATGCACGATAATATTAAAACTGGAATGGGAGAAAAAAAGGAAAAAAAGAACGTTTTCAATGGACGTTTTATTTTTTCGAAAAAGCAATTTTAAACGGTTGCCGAGTTCGTGCATACTTTATTTTATTATCGGGCATATTGTATTATCTTTCGATCGAAAAGCTGGAAAATTTGAAATTTTCGAAAGTATGAATTAAATATCTTGATTGAACTTTTTCGATGTGATAAAAATATTTCATCGACGAGGGAACGAGAACGAGCGAAGGCGAATTTCGTCCAATTTCGTCCATCATTTAAAATTGAACCGGTTAATATCGAGGTATATACCGTGTGAGAATAATTTATATCTGTCTGGCGGTATACATATATATACATATACGCGATAATACGGTTTAAGAACGAGCACGCTGTTTGCCAAAAGTGTCACGGGCGTGTTGTTATCTCTAGAAGCGAAGAGGAAGAGTTTCTCTCGCGAATTGAAAAGTGCATCGGCCGCGGCGGAGATAAATAAAAATCCATCGGACGATAATATCGCGGGTGTTCGCCATTAATCACCGGCGGCCGCGCATACCTTTTCCAGGTCAACAAACTCGCCACGTCTCGATTCACAAGTCGGCCATATTTGCCGGCCGTGGTCGAGGTCGTTTCGGAGACCGATGGCCTTTCGCGAAGTTACTTATTTCTGGACCGTGTCCACGGTCTCAGTGGGTCACTGGATACGTCTAGTTCCGCGGCGGATGATTAATTCCAACCTCCCATCAGGGATATTAGTTTTTAATGCGGCGTCGTTGTCGTGGGGATTATAATAATTAGCTCGGTGTCGCGCGTGGGCCAACTGCGGCGGCTGTACGACGTCCCAATCGTGTCGTCCATCGCTGTATCCTCTGCTCGCTCTCGAGGTTATACTCATACGGTTCGCGTTTGTACGAATTTGTAAACGCAATATATGGCGAAGTAGAAGTTGCGAAAACAAAAGTCCATTGCTTTTCTTTCGTTTCAGTTTGATCATTCGATTACGCGGCGATAATTCAATATATCGTAACGTAAATAAAAATAATTTAAATTAGATTCATCTTATCAAGATCGCTAAAGTATCTGGCTTCTCCGAATAAATCGCTTAGAAAATTAATTTCGATAAGAAAACATTATCATATCCTCGTCCCAACTTCGTTTATCCCATTTCGAATGGACAACTCATACGTGATTCTTTGAAATCGGGATTTTTTGTAACGAGATCCTCGCTGGAAACAACGTGATACGTGACACGTGAGATAATATACGACGTCAAGAGATAATTTCGAACGTTTATCTGCATCTTCGTTCTTAGAAACTTCAATCGAATACGTAAGAAGAAACAAGGTTAATCGATACGAAATTCCGTGTAAGATTTCGCGTGCGCTATAGCCTAGAAACTTGAACTTGGAACTTTCACGGTGAAA